CATCATCATCATCATCATCATCATCATCATCATCATCATCATCATCAAAGTAGTAGTACTTATCTCCTGATAAGTAGAGTAAGAAATGAAAATGGTCATATTCCTTTTAGGAACACAATAAAAAATGGGATTTTGGATAAGGAAAGCTTCATTCCCAGCCACAGCAAATGTAAGCTTAGGTGATCTTAATGGTACTCAGAAAAAGTGCTACCAGATGCCTTTTGATTTTTGAACCACTTTTCACCAAATGTGAGTGTTACACACTTTAATAAAGCTTGTTTAAGCTGAAAAGTATTGTCTGAACTGGGACAGGTTTCTACAAAAATGAGTGTTTATATACAGTATAACTTGATGTCTACATGCTGAAATACACCCCATATTCTTAAGCTGTTTCTTACCTGTCTGGTTGGAGATCTTCCCTTCTGGACATGGAGTACAATCATAGCAGCAAAAGGGTTCTCCTTCTTTCTTGCTCTTTCTGTAACCTGAACGGCATTTCTCATTACACAGTGAAAGAGGCTGTGTCTGAACAATGATGGAAGAAGCATTGGATTAAATATGCAGAAAATCAGAAAAGGCATCTGTCAAAGTTCACAGTGATTGAAGAAGGTTTCTAGTTTTGCTCAGAGGGAGCAGACGAGCATGAGGTCTCTCACTGGCCTACACACATACCAATGTTTGCATTGGGGGATTTCCTAGGATCCAGAATCATACTGAGACTACTTACAGGGAATGTAAGATGAATCTTCCATTTCTTTCTTTTTTTCTGAGTTGTTGATTAATTTTATGTAACATTTTGCAAGTGAATAAATGAAAAGGTGTAAGTAAAAAAGAAAGAAATAAAACATATAAGAAAACAGAAAATCGGATAGAAATGATTAGCCCTATTGAACTTTATATTAACTATACCTGGTTAATACATTACAAATCACTAACAAAAGTATGAGCAATAAACAACACATTAGATCAATATGAGAGTTATAGATCAAACTAAAATATGATTCTATAATAAAAGAACCCAAATGTTGGCTGTGGCACCAATCCATATATATTATAATCCAAGAAAGGTTTCTAAATACTTTTCCAAAGTAGCAATAAAAAAAAATCTTCCATTTCATGGATCATTATGAAAGTGAAAGATAATCCAAGTTCCTTTCAATTTATACTTTTGAACAGCAGACAGCAATATACTAATATATTTTGTTGATATGAAAGTAAAAGTTAACAGAGTCAAAATTGCAACCAATATTGCTATCAGAATTCTTTAGCCATCAGTGATGGAAGGATATGCCAGACCATTGTGTTAAATACTCTCCTGAGGAAGACTGAAATTCTCTTACTGTTAAAAATGAGTTAAAGAGAAAAATAATCCAAGTTGTAAGAGAAAAATCTCAAGAAATAATAATAATAATAATAATAATAATAATAATAATAATAC